TTTTGGTTGACCGCCTGTCTGGCTGCGCATTCGTATGTTTTATTTTGATCAATTAGTTGGATACATTCTTGAAGTGTTGGGATAGTCTTGGTGCGCCATCTCCTACTGATTAGTATCAATGCTGCTATGGTAATCTGAAAAATAAGATATGCCATGTTCGGCTTAGTTTCGGGTGGGTACTTCTGCAGGAGATATGTTTCTGGGGTATCTGGGAGATTCATGCCGGTAACTGATGCTACTAGACTAATCATGTGTTTCCAATATTTGGATAATAGTGGGCAGTTCCACCAAATATGGAGCATACCTCCTTTGGCTTCCAGGCACCTCCAGCAGCGGTCAGACACTGTGGGGAGCATTTTGTGTAATTTTGTCGGTACTAAGTACCATCTATACAGGATTTTTTTGGTTAGTTCTATATGGGTTAGTTTTTTGTAGGTTCGAAAGAGGTCCACATTGATATTTGGGAAGAATAACCATTTTTACAGCGGCCACTCAGCCTGTCCAGGAGATGTACTTTTTTTGCCACCCCTGGAGGAGTGATTGCACTTGTGTTTGTAGTTTTGTGTAGTTCGCTTTAAAAAGTTGATGCACCAATGGTGTCAATTTTATCCCTAAGAAGGTAAGATGGTCTGTTCGCCAGTCATATTGGAATTCTGATTGTAGTGCTTTTGTACATTCGCCTGGGAGGTTAATGCTCATGGCCTGTGTCTTGGACACATTTAGTTTGTAATAGGAGCATTTGCTATAGTCTGCTAGCGTTGTTGTGAACGTTTGTAAGGAAAGTTTGGGGTTTGTCAGGGTAAGTAGGATGTCATCTGCAAACAGTGTGAGTTTATATTCTTTTTGCTGGATTCGTATGCCTTGTATATGTGGGTGGTTATGGATTAGGGTGGTGAGTGGTTCTAGTGCTAGAATGTATAGTAGGGGGGACAGGGGACAGCCCAGCCGTGATCCGTTGGTTATGTTATATGGTTGAAACAATAAAGTTTAAACAATTCTATCATAAGGCTGGAACATAAAAGAAATATGACAAGGAGGGGGCGGAGAGGGAGCCTGACTACCAACCAGGCCGGCTGCCTGCTGGAAGTGCTCCGCTGCTTTTAAAAGGAAAGGCCTAAATAATACATTATATTCTCAGACTCACAGCTTCTTCAACCACTACTGGTCTGGGGGACGCTCCTACACTACTGCTTTTTTTGCTGTGGTTGGGAGTTGCCTGCAACTGATTGGATTACAGCCTACTGGTTTACTCGAAGTGGGGGAGGAAGCCTATTCCCTGCTCAAATTGCTTTGCTTCCCTCCCTTCGTTTGGACTGGTGGAGGATATCCCAGTCCCGCTGAGAGAGATTCCTGTTTTTGTACTCAGCCGTCAATAGGATGTCTTATTATTATTTTATTTGTTTGTGAAAAACATATTTATATATTTCTTTATTGGACCCATCTGTTTCATGTGCTGTAAGTTGCTGTCCACTCTTGCAATGTTTATATCTCATATACGTGTAATACTGAATGCTTATATAACTTTTATGTATTGGTCCAGCATGCAACATGTAGTCCGCATTCAGCTCAATTTAAATAAATAAAAAAAGTGATAGACAGGTCTGAATACTTTCTGAATGAACTGTATATATTACATAAATGTAATCTGTCACGTACAATAAACGTCATAATTAAATACACTTTGTTTAACAACTTCTAAATCACATTGGTTTTTAACCAGGCAGATACTGATAGTCGTATTTTTTTCCAATCTCTTTTAATTACTAGGGTTTGCTTTTTTAATTAATTTTGGCCAATAACATCAGATTTTACTATAGTCTTGATGCTCGTATGTTACTTCCGAGGATTGACATATTTCCGTACCTTTTAGTGGTTTCCAAAGTAAATTTCATTCTAAATCCCCTTTTAAAAGTCCAACCATAGCTAAGTCTATAGGGCTCCTCCATTGTTATCATTCCCTACTATCTGACAAGGTTGATCAATGTCCTTTCTTGTCCTCTCTACCATGTCTATTTTCTTATACAGAAGTCTCTCTCTCCCCTGGTTCCTCTCAGACCTTCTTTTATTGTCTATTAAGTTCACATTTCCAGCATTGGTACCCCAACACTTTTATTTTCCCTTAATCTTTCTCGAGGGCAAATCATAAACTCTTTTAGCTTTAATTATCATCGACCGAATATGATGATGACACACCAGTGTATCTTTCCTCTTTCCACACCCTCACTTTCACCACAGATACAACAGAAAGATTTAGAATTCCTAACTGGTGTATCTAAAGGACAGCTCATCGGCCAATCGTTGTCATAATCATGTGTTGAGATCAGTGTTAATATTGGCGTCAAATTTCAATTCATAGTCTTTTAAATGAAAAGCCATTTTAGTTTTAGTCATATTTTAGTAATGTGAATTATTTTAGTTTTAGTCGACTAAATCTAAGAAATATTTGTCAATGAAAATTGTTAGTCCAAAAATTAAGACTGATCGAGATGCATTAATCTTCCCCCCCCCCCTTAAATATCCCTTCCAATGTCTGAGTTCACTATTACCATAGACAGACTCACTGTTTACCCTGTGACAAATGCATGCTACCCAGGTAGTTTCCCTAAATCCACCCCCCTTTTCAGTACCCATAATAACTAAGAAATGCTGAATCTTCTTACTTTAGAACTTAAACGTGGGTGGACTCACCAAAACTGAAACGATTGCTACATTTTAGAATTTTTTGAATTCTCATTGCTCTGCACATTTCCTCCTTACTCTACATCACACTTACTTTCTCATCAAAATGACCTCCCCCATCAATGTCCAATCTAATGCTCTTCATTGGAGACCAAATGCACTTGCGCGACGAGAGCCTTTCCCATAGTAAAGCATTCAATCAATGTTCTCCTACGGGGCATCACATGACAGAGATTTACTCAGTCAGTGCAGTGGAAGTGACTCTAGTGGCTGTCATCCTGACTTAACCTTGCAATGGAAACACTGCAGATAATAAAAAAACCCTCACATTTAACATTACATGGTTAAGTCCACCATTAGTGGATGTCAGTATCACTCAGACACGGAGGTGGTGTGGGAGCAGGGAAAACAATGTGCCTCAGGATGAAATGTAAGTACATTTTACATTTGGAGGGGACATCTAGTGTAGGAGAACCATATAGTGTTAGGAATACACGTTTGTATTGCTAATGCTACAGTGTTCCTTTAATATACAAGAGAAGAAGACAAAGGAACGGAAGAGTAAGTGCTCCATCTGCTGGACAGCCATGGATAGTACAGTTCACTGTGCCTCTGTAATCTGTTGCCAATGTACCTAGTTAATACCCCTGTAACCCATGTAAGCTGCTTATTATTATGTAACATCATATGGCATCATATTGAAAGGTCAGCTCTGAAATAATGTGCTTCGTTAGAGCAAGGTCCAAATATGAACTCGGAAATTACTGCATACTAGATAAGTGCATTCGTTGCACCCTTCCTTAAATTAATCTGTTTGGTGCCGAATTGATTTGTCCGGCATAGAACTACATTGATTGATTTTTAGTTTGGTCGACCAGTTTAAAAATGAATCGAAAGGGGCTCTATGCTGCAAAATGATTTGTTGTCAAATTAAAGGGATCCTATAGTGCAAGGAAAAGAAAGCTGTTTATCTGGCACTATAAGTTTAATAGCCCCCTCCCCCCCTCCTGCGGGGCTGGAGGGGTTAAAACCCCTTCAGCCACTTACCTGAATCCAGTGCCGATCTCCCTCGGCACTGGGTCAGGCTCCTTGCACGCTCCTCCTCTGCCGACGGGGGAGACTTAATGCGCATGTGCGGCAAAAGCCATGCACACGCACTAGACCTCCCCATATGAAAGCATTATTCAATGCTTTCCTGTTGGAAAAATCTGAAGCTGGAAGTCCTCATACAGAGCGTGAGGACGTCCAGCGTCAGATAACGGACCAAATGTCCATTTGGATTCCGGAAACGCTTACTGAGGGCAGACTTAGAGCTGCAATGTAAACATTGTAGTTCTCTAGAAATGCAATGTTTTACATTGCAGCGCTACATGCAAAAGGGTCACAGTACCCAGACTACTTCAATGAGCTGGTCCAAAGTGGTCTGGGTGCCTGCAATGTCCCTTTAATCGACTGGTTTAAGGAAGAGTAAAACGAATGCACATTATAGAATTATTAATTCAATTCTGGAGTTCTGAAATATAAAATGAAGGTGAAAATAGCTGATCTAGAAAAATCCTCCAACTCAGTTTTAGTTACAGCGTTGCTATGTTAGCAAATCCTCCACCGGTCAGAAGGAGGGGGGAGCAGGTATGCTGTATCCGTACTGCCAACTATCGAACAAGGAGAGCGTCTGCCTCTCCCCAGCCCTTTCGCCTGTAGGCCACAAAATCTTGTTCTGGGCAATCCGATGGAAGAGAGTCAAGAGTGTGGTATTCCCAGATTCACCGAGGTGTCCTCCTGTGTAGGAAGTGCACCATTGCATTAGTATCAGAAATCTAACTGATATTATCTCTCGAATAACAGTGCCAAAGGCTCAGCACTTATCTGGTCTGCTTGGTAGTCAGGCTCCGACCCACAGAGTGTTTTTCTGAAAAGGCTAAACTGTCCCTTTAAGAACTTAGTAGAGATAAAGTATACCTATTTAAAAAAATAAAAATACTTTTTTTGAAATAATTTAAAGAGCAATTTTCTTTTTTTCAGTATTTCAAGATTGTAAAGATAAATTACATTTGGAATATTAAAATCAATTTCACATATAATAACCTGTGTAAAGGATGGATAGATCGAAATATATTGTAAAAATGTATACAATAAGCAAAACAGTGTAAATGTCTGCTCAAAAGAGTTCACATTCTGTGAAGATTAGAGGGTTCGTCACTAAACACTAAATAGTAGTGAATACAAAACAAAAGTCAAATTTAGGGGAAAAATTCTGATTTAGAAATTCCTCTCTAACTCCCATATAGTCACTTCTTACCTGATTTTGCAATTCAATTTCAATGAACTAGAATGTGGTGTTCAGTGAATAATCCAACTGATCACAAAATGTTTTGTGATTGTCTTTTTTAAAGAATATTTTTAGACTCCATTTTGCTTACGAAATTCGTTGTTGTGTTGTATATGCTCATCTTTAGGCAGCCGAGCCTATTTATTTAATCTCCTATAAATGCTGATTTGCGTACCACTGTTTCCTATTTTCTATTTCCGAACATAAGCTGCCAGGATCCCTGTAATGTCGTCACGTCAAGGGGTTAGAAAAATCCATTAGATCCATTTAGGCAGCAGTTTCCGACTTGCGATCACCAATGCAGGAATAAATTAAAATGAAGGGACTCTTGCACAGTTATACAGCCAAACAATAAAAGGAATTTGTGAAAGGATTATGAACTATGGGACTTCTGGCGAGATTAAAGGGTTAAAAAAACAAAACAGAATTTGCGGCATTTGCTTTAAAGTTGTTGTTTTTTTCTTGCTAAGTGTGCGAGCTCTAATATCTGAGTGTATGAACAAGCGAGATAACTGCAAGGTGTGAGAATGACGTAACTAAAGCAGTGAGTCTGTAGCATATCATTCTGGGCCATATTTTGTAGCGTACGGACAGGAGTGTAGTATCGGATTGTTGTTACTTGTAAACATGTTTGTTTTTCACAACGATTGCTTAAATGCAAGAGTTGCCAAGTGGAAAAATACATTTTGCTTAGTAATATGTGTTGGTTTGTGTCACCAGGAAATTGTGTAATTGCTGAGAAAGGAGTTTGCTTATTCGGCTCGTATTCACTGTCTCCCTTGGAGGCCACACGTTTATGTTCAGCAATAAACCACTCGAATGGACCTCTGTGTTTTATCTTGACTTTGTGTAGAAGAAAATTAGCGATAATCTGATTTCTCTAAATTTAAAAACATCTATAGATTAAGACTGGTAAATAACCAATCCATAATTTTAGAATGATATACAGGATTAATCGGGATTAATCAATCAGCATTGGCTAGTTGATTTAATTTAACACGAGGAATTGATTATTATTGAAAAGAACATACTATAACAGGGATAGGCAACCTTCGGCACTCCAGATATTTTGAACTACATCTCCCATAATGCTCTTTCACCCATAATGCTGGCAAAGCATCACGGGAGGTGTAGTCCAAAACAGCTGGAGTGCCGAAGGTTGCCTATGCCTGTACTATAAATTACTAAGAGAAGATTATCCATTTTCAGAAATGATAATTCCACCATTTAATAAGATTATCAGTCCAAATAGGAGCATTATTTGCTTTTAGAGAAGGAATGTCTGCTCAAACGGTAGATTCAACATTATCGCCTGTCATGTAATAATTGTAAGTTATAGGAAAAAATGGTGAACAGAATGCACTTATTGAGAAAAGTACCACCAAAACCAGTATAATATAACAAAAGCGGAACACAAGATCCATCACAAACCTCTCAATACAAATGTTCCGTTCTTAGGAGGCCAAACAGAGCAGGTGATGTCTTGGCCTTACACCTAACCGCTATCAGTGTCAAATCAGGACGTTATCAAGGTTGCAGCACGTTATAGGACTATCATGATTGCCACTCACATTCTTATGATGGCAGAGCTCACTGCAAACAGGACAAAGCCTAGAGACTTAAATTAAAATGTGAATATCTAGTTTTTTTATTATTATTTTTAATGTATTGGTTTTGAATTTTTTTTTCTGTACTTACTATGTAATGCAATGAACCAGTCGACTCCAGCCCAGGGGGTCTCTTTAGTTATTTATTTGACGATTGTTATATAGCAGGGCATTGTTAACATAGTAATTATGCAACGTAAAACGTAAGACAAATCAGCTAGACATTAACAATCACTCAGTAAACCATAATATCAGAAGGAATCTATTTAGGCCAATGTTGGCTTTAAGAAAAGGAAATGAACGCAAGAACATAGAAGAACATAAAGAGGACCTAAGGTTTAACTGAGAGGGAGCAAAGTTTACACCCTAAACAGGTTAGAGAAGGCAGTATAGATAAGACAGCTTTTTAGATGTTTATGAAGAATTACAGCTGATTGGGTATGACCAGGTTAGCTTCATATTAAAGTGGCTCTGTCCTTGTCTGGGGTGTGGAATAATCTGACAGTGACTTTACTGCTGGGTGTAGGGGAAGGTGAGTTATACTTACCAGAACCTGTGCCTCGTGCCCTCCCTACTGGTCCTCTTCAGTTCCTGGAGCTTCAGCTGCCAAGAGCCAACTTCAGCACTGTATGCTCGCACATACGCAAGAGTACAACACTAAGGGGTGATCATGTGAGACTAGGGGATCCCTTTCTGGCATGATAAAGGCTCTTGAAAGCTGAAACGCTGCATTGTATTGAGGAGTAGCTTACCTTCGAATAAACTTATACCATTAGAATATCGGAATGTAGCCTTTGTCCTCATATAAAACACAATTTTAGAAAGGAAAAATTGATAAAGGTGCTCAAATCACCAAGTGTGAGTCACTCCAAATCACACAAAAACCATATAATGTAATAATAATATAGTGAGAGCAATCTCTATACACCAAATAAAACAGATATAAAAGCAGGCAATATTACCATATGGCTGTAATGTCCTAAAAATAGAAAATAAGGAACATAGTATAGCCTGTATAAAATATACAAAAAGTAAATTTAATGTAAAATTGCCCACTCACGTGGTGCTGAGCCGTTCAGTGGCTCAGACTATAAGCGCCTTGTAAAAATTATTGAGACCACAATGCTGGAAAGGCACACCTCCTGGATAGATGGTCAGCTTGTAGGGAGGAACTTGTGAGCCGGGTATCCTGTTTTTAGGTGGGATCCTCCATAGACAATGCTCTGCCTCTTTGTCAAACTTAGTTTTAGTATATATTTATACTGCATTGGAATTTCAGTAAAATTTCAACAAATTCAATATGAGTATTTCATAAAAACGTATCGTCATGAAATAGACCTTTTTTGGTAGGGGGCATGACATACAAAAGGAGGACAAATGCTGTTTTAGGGAAATTCACATCATAAAGCACTGATGTATCAACGGAATTAGTCATTGCTATCTGGTATAGGTATAGACAGAAGTTGAAAAACTTTCTCAACCCCTCAATAATAACATATAACATTGGGACAGAAACAGCAAGATTTCCAGTGTGGAGGATAGAAGGCATTACATCAGACCTGCCATGTCTCAGTTTTTCATAAAGATAGAATCTTTACATTTATTAATATGGAACTCCAATGACTTGTGTATCCATTCGGACATAATAAAAAATGCAGACTCAGAATAGCGATTACTTTCTTATTGCTTTGCCTATACTTTATCTGCAGTTACAAATTATATCTGGTGGCAAAACATATTGTTTCCCGCTATCACTACAGATACATATGTCATACCAACATGTATGAACTATCTTATATCTTAGAAACCAGTTTTATACTATCACAGGGGGAATAGGTATTTTTGTATTTATATTCACTTTTTGTATCACACTGCTATGTTACAATGCTGCAGCCCATCCCATGTGTTCCCTATTAAGGGTTAATAAGCATATAAGAGTGTATATAAAAAATACCCCTCTCTGTCTCATTGGAGATATCTTTTCCAGAAGCTCAAGGAAGCAAGGTGAAAGGTCAGTGTAGGACCCACCTGAGGGGGTTTGCCTTCACATGGCCATTGGAGTTACTAAATGACCTCCATTTGTTTAAATATACATTGGGATTTAGGAGAGAGTGCAGGTAACTTTTTATTTTACTGTATGTATTGGGGATGATGTGTACTGTGGTCGTTGCTGCCGCCCAGGAGTGATGGTTTCCCGCGAGCACTACAGATACATATGTCATATCAACATGTATGAACTATCTCTATATCTTAGAAACCAGTTTTAAACTTTCCCAGGGTGAGTAGGTCCTAGAATCACAGGAAAAAGAAACGCTCTGGTGGTGTTTATGGAGAAAGAACCAGAGTTGAGTAGATATGTTCAAACCTTTCTCTTATGAGGCACAGCCCTTCAACAGACAAGTTACCTGGGCAGGTGTTAATAAAAACGTGAAATAAACCTTAATCCAGTACACAGCCTGCTGTGACGGAGAGCTAAAACACAAATTAAATAGTAGTGTTTCATAACAAATAAAAGTTTTACTTAAAATAAATAAGGCCCCCAAAAAACAGCTGAAAATGTTATTTCTTGAACTCATTTTCATAGAAACTTCAAAATAATTAGAATTAAAAATATTAGGAATGCAGTTTAGATTTGTTGAAGTTTTTTTTTTGCTGTTACTCACAAGTGTTAGCATAGATTATCGTTTCATTTTGGAATTCACCAAGAATTCATATCTGTTTCATTTTATTTATATGAACACAGGAGGAATATTTGACGATACTTTATTCAAATTATACAGAATATTTCTCTTTCTATTGTCACAGGTAAACATAGATAAACTTTAACTGGCAAATCGGGCAAAGGTGGTTTTTGTTGTAGATAAAAATCTCTAAACACAGTTTGGCATGAAAGGAGTCCACAAATGCTTGCGTTCAAGAGTCTCTGTCTGATTATTGTCTTGATTTAATATTTTTGGAAACGGCTTTCAAATAAGTTAATATTATGAAAAATATTTTAATATTTTTTGATATATTAATATATATTTTTGATATATTATATAATTTTTTAAATGTTAATATCTTAGGGGGAAAAACACCATAAAAGGTTATCCAAAAATATTAAGTCATGTGAAAAACCTATCCAAAAATATTAACTCAAGTATCAAGAACAGAATTCTGAATATAATTATATATCTCTACTAAAAGAAACATTTGTATATTCAAAAAATAGTGCCAATATTTCACAGTTAAGGTATATTAGAGTCCTTTTGTTACAAATACTAAAATAATGATTAAAATGTAGTATTTTTTCTTTTGTAAAATACAGATTTATCGATTATATATTTATCGTTTGTGGAAATTGTTGTAACATTTGTTTTATTTCGGCTTTAATCTTAAGATTTTCGTTCACAACATACAATGCCATTAATTCGCTAAACTATGAGTCACGGAGAATTGAGAAAGATATTGCAAATTGTAAATCAAAATTGAAAGAAAAGAAAATAAATTTGCAATATGCTTCAATCTCCAAAATTTACAGTTCAGTGTAAAAACCTGAATGTTTTCTGTAGCTAGATAAATTCAATCCAGTAGTTAATATTCTCTAACTTCATGTTTCTGGTTTGGTGTAGTTTATTTTAGAATTCAACAAAAATTTTAATTTTTTTCCAGATAAATTCATCACTTCAAAAATTTTATTTTTATATGTTTTACAGCATCCAAAATAAACAAATTGAAATAAGACAGCAAGGGGCTTATTTTTTGTGGGATGTGAGAAGAGGCAAAGGTGGGGAATGGGGAAACGACATTATTAAATAAAAATACACAAAATTAAATAAAAAGACAGTATTTCACAAATTAACCTCTGCAGTCTCCACAATAAACCAAGATGGTCCCACAGGCACTGACAGAGTTAATATTACCATTAATCCTCTTGCATAGAAATAGTGGAGCCCCATAGACAATATATTTATATATTTATATATATATCTATATATATAGTGCGTCCAGATAAATATAACTCCATATGTATAGACGTATGCTCTATATGTAGGTAAGACGGGCGTGGCGTGACATCACCGGACGTGGCACAAGCTGATGGCAGCGTAGGCTGGAAGATGACACAGTTGGCTTTGAAGGTGTACCATTGGTAGGAGGTTTTTTAGAGCACAGACTGAGGTCTCAGGGAAGGGGGAGGGAGGGTCGTGATGTCATAGGTGATGTCATGCAAGGGACGTGTCAGAGACCTGCTGAACATTGCTTTTCCTACATGTCCTCTGCCTTACTCCTGTATAGCGTCACTCCATTTTAAAAAAAATCTCCTTGGCCAGACCTGCGGAGTGTCACTCCACTTATCTCTTTAGTTACTAGCGCTAAGTGTGTGTGTGTGCAGTAACTTTTCCAACTAATTAACAATTAAGGCACAGCACAAACACACAAACACACAGACATACACACAGACACACACATACACGCCTGTGCAGCCCCCACTACCATCAGAGTTTGCATGGGGGCAATAAGGCTCAATATAAGGATCTCGAAGGGGGCAACTGCTACATCTACCCCCTACTCCTTCCTCCCTCCTGAGTCGGAGGGTTAATGCTATGAGATTATCAATATAATGAATATGCCTCCACCCTACTACAGATAAGGACGACCGGTTGCTTATGACGGGTGCTGACTGGCGACGGCGGGCACTGTCTTAGAACTTGGAGATTTCAAAGGACCACGAATGCCACTCTGGGCATCACTCTGAATTCCACTTACCCTAATAGCTACGGGAGACAGTTTAGGCTGATCATTCTCTATAGTAGCGGGAGAAGAGGATCCTGTCTGTTTTTTTTCAGTTTCATTTATCAGATTAATAGTTAAAGAAGTTGTAGTCAACTTTGACTTGTCACTTTCTAATCCACTGACACATTTACTAACTGAGGGCACACAGGGAGCTTTCACTTGGTTGCCGTCAGTCACACCATCTTTGCTAAGGGTTGGTGCAATAGAAGATATTTTTTCAAGGACCTCCACAGCTTTACTGGCACTATTTGATGAGGCAGCAGTGATTGTTTTCTGGTCAGTTGCTCTATTAATACCAGAGGCAGCAGTGGTCCCCTTTGTCTTTTCATTTTCTGGTACACAGGTTCGGTTAATATGAACAGCAATGGTTACTTTTACCTCCTCGGTGTCTACTCCACTTACTCTATTGATAGTTGATGAGGCAGGAGCCATCTTGGCTTTGTCTATTTCCCCGATTTTGTTTATTATTGGTGTGCTAATGTTCATAGTTGTCTGATCACTTCCTTTTCCACTTAAGACTTTTGTAGGTGGGGGTGTAATGTTTATTTTAGCCTGATCCGTTTCTGTGACACTGTACCTGTTTAGTGGTTGAATATTGGCTGCCATCTTTGTTTGGTCAGTGTCTACTTTTTTTACTTTAACATTTAAAGAAGATACGGACTCTGCTGTAGATGGAACATGCCCTGGCACGCGAGTACCCATAGTGGAAATATCACTTCCTCTTACATTATCACCAATAGAAAGGGGAGATGCAGGAAGTCTTGTTGGTTCCAAATTCACATAATGTACTCTAATAGGTTGTAAGACAGTGGTTTCACATTTTACATAACCTAGGCCACTGGTACTTTCTTTTATCCCATCGGTTTTCAAATCAATTAATTGGACAGGAAGAGAGGGAACAGACTTCGAGGTATCAGACACCTTGGGGCAACAAAGTAAAGGATTCTTTAGAATATCCTCATTTGACTCATTTTCCTTAACAGCATGTGGAGATTCTAGAACTTGCGATGGCTTAGGGCTGATCTTTGTGTGATCAGCTTCCCGCATCTTTAGCCCTATATGTTCACAGGACGTAGTCTGGATAGTAGAAGGGACAACCACCTTTGCAGGATCAGCCTCTGATACCCTGTCCTTTGGAGGATGACAAAGCTCTTGCTTTGGATCCAGAGATGAACACAGTGCCCCCTTCATGGAGTGAACATCAACCTCCTTACTTTTAGTAATTTGGGGTGATGTTTGGCATGTGTGTGATTCTGTTGGAAGGCTACATGGAGCACTCTTTGTGGGAGGATGAGATGGACTCTTACCAACAGTAGTTAGTTCCTCAACTACTTCCAAATACCATCGCTCTTTCATTGCTCCTCCCTCTTCCTCCTCTTCTTCTCCTCTTTCTCCCTTCCTAGTGTCAATGTCACCTCCACCATCCTCCCCTTCGCCTCTTCGTCCCTCATGTTCCTGCACAGGACTTAATGTCTTTACCTGGCATCTCCCTACCAGAGCATGAGATGGCTCACCCTGTGTTGGAATTGCTGCAGTGGATAAGACAGGGGATTCCTGGGGGGAGAATGGAGGAGGTGGCCGTGCTGTTGACCCTAATTTACTTCCTCCCTGAACTTTCCCCTCAACAGCTTTGTGCCCCTCTCCCTGTTGTAATACTATGACACCTACCTCTCCTTCTAACTTCTCCATGCTATCTGGTAGCAGACTTTCTGCTCCACAGAGACTCCTAGGGGATTCTTGCCTCCCTACTCTCCTCACTGCTTGTGTTCTGCTTCCAATAGATTCTGTTCCTTCTCCATCTGCTGCCCCTCCTCCTCCTCCTGGTTCTTGTTTCCTGGGTGTTACGCCACCTGCACCCCCACCCAACTTCTCTGCAGATTGTACCCTCTTAAGGAGAGGGGAACGAGGTGGCTCAGCACTCTTAGGCCTTGGACGTGAGACAGGCGGGGAAGGATGCAGCTTTGGTGGAAAGCTCTGGGTTGTAAGACTACTGCCCACACTGTGGCCAGGAATGAGAGGCGGAGAGGCTGCAGTAGTTGGGGAAGGAGTATGAGCAAGTGGAGAAAGTGGCATATTGCCAGCAGATTTGCAGCGTGCAGACCGGTACTGGCGATGCAGCTTGGGGGATAACCCATGCAGTGTGCTGGGACGGATATGAGGAGATGGCGGGGCAGGAGAAGCGGATGAAGAAGATGTGGGGGCACAAGTAGTAGATGATGATGGGGGAGGGGGAGCAGGAGAGTTAGGAGTGCTAGAAGAAGGGGAACTGCCCTGAGAAGATGCACCTAAAGAGTTAGACAAAGAAAGAAAATGTTAATATGCAGAAGATCAATCCTATAGCCCCTTCCATGGTAACACGCAGGGCACCTGGTTGTTAATTTTACTAGCAATATAGTTTAGCAGTGAAAGAGAACCTGAACATTTCACCCTGGAAAGATCACTGCTCAATAACTCTACTTTCTGCAAATCCTACCATTTCAGAGACATTTACCACTTACCCCCTTAAGACATGCTACATGAATAAACCTGAACCCACCACTCGCTGACACACCTGTCTTTAACGCCTTATAAATTTTATCATTGCCTCCAATATTATAACTTTAAGATTTAAGCAGAGCCTACCTAAGTAAGCAGAGTCCATAGAGCGATAACTATGAGTTGGGGATCGAGCAGAGAGACTGTGAGTTGGAGACCCAGGGAGACTGTCACTGGAAGAGAGAGATCGGCTGAGAGAAGAAAGGGAGCGACTGGTGTGTAGAAGATTTGACTGCTTGGTGATCTTACGGAAGAGTGAACTTCGCTTTTTACTATGAAAAAAGAGGGAGGAGAAAGAGAGATAAAGAATATTTAACATATTGAAAAAGAAAATGTAACCTTTTCTTTTGTCTTGTGGCACTCTTGTTTATAAATCTTTCCCTGCCATTAATCTCCCTCTATCTCTCATTTCCCCACATACCTCATTTACTTCTTATAGTCAATGCAGAACACCCAGCTACCCAACTTTCTGAAGGACAATCACTAGTTCTGGATTTCTGTGTTAGTATCATAGAGTGAGATAGCACTGGTAGTATTAGATATCTTGCCTTTAGCAAACTGGACCTTATCAATAAAAATATTAATAGGTTGTACTGTTTGCTTTGTTTAGTTAATACT